GATGCAAATTGTAGAAGCATATACTCATAGTAGCAGAAACAAGTTAAGTTTGTATTGCCAGGGAGATGAAGCGGAACATGACCTCTGTTAAAGCCTGTGCAGACATAAATTCGCACTCGTGACAGAGCAAAACCCAAGGGCCGGAAAAATAAGAAAGCTTTGGCGTGTTAAAAGCAGCTGAGAGCTGGTACCTATGGAAATCAAACAAGGACAATTTATATAAGTATTGGGCAATATATCAATGTGATTCGGGCGGTGTTGAACATTGTACTGAGATCAAAGGGCAGGGTATTACCAATAAAAAAATATTCATTTACTCAGACAGCCATGTGGCACTAAAGGCTACTTTAGTATTCATTTATAGTCCGGGAGCCGTTTGGGATTGCATCACAACCCTCCCAGAAATTGGGGCAAATAAAATTGTTCTTGCCTGGGTACAAGAGTAGAGCGACAACGAACAGGCAAACAATTAGCCAAGGAATGTTCAGCCCAAGAACCTTTTTGCAGCACATGAAATTCTCAAAAACGTAGATCCATCAGACAATGGATTAAAAATAAGTCCTCGGTTCAATGGGAATGTATTCCAGGTCAGAAGCTAAATTACGAAACGTGTTAGGACAAGAACACGGTAGGACTTGACATTGAAAACCACGGAGGCATACCTTCCTGTAGACCCAGAGCAGCAGAATCAAGTTTGAGTAGATATTGCCAGGGAAAAAAAAGAAACCGGAACATGACCTCTGTTGATATGTCGGTGGGCTTCAGGCTATGAAAGCTTTGCAGATTGATATTCCTTCTTCTATGAAAAGTCAAAAACTGAAATGTACCTAAGGGACGCTCATCAAAAGACTTAAGCTGAACGAACAGCTTTAGTTAATGATGTAGAAGCATCATTCTTATAAGTTATCCTCTTTACGATATTGCGCACCACGACCAGTATTGTTGTAAAAAAACATTTGTTGGAATTCCGATGGAACTAGGACGTAAAAAGATAAGGGCAAAACCACCAAGGGAATGAGCTCCCAAATCAAGTAATTCGAGCCAAAGAGCAAGTTCGCCAATATCTTTCAAGCCAGTTCTTGAAATTGATTCAGTCTTGATTCATCAATCAGAATACGAAACGAAACGAATAGGAAACGAAAAAGCGGATGCTAAAACAACAAAAATAACTGCCGCACTGCTGACAGAACACAACTTTTACTCGACCATCATCAGCTTAAAAACTGAATTTCATAATTAAACCTTGCAAAATAGACGCAAACGATCTAATAAAATAATTGGGTACCAAGTTATACGGGAATCGTGGGAAATGAAAAAGCTGATGTCCTTACAAGGCTTCTGGCAGGTCTCCTACCTTTTCGCGGGAGAGAATCCCAATCAAAACTACATACTTCGTAAAAGGGAGCAGAACGAGGCTCAGTATGTTGACAGGTTGATCAGCCGAAAGAGGTTAAAATTATAGTAAAGAAACAATAAGGATTTTTCGTTGGTCACAAGTAATCCAAGAGTAAGATTTGAAAACTAAAGAAGTTACTGAATGGATCAGGTTTCCTTGTCAGGACATCTGGGGAAGATCGACATCGACCAAATGCAGATTCTGCAAGGAGCGGAAACTCTAACACACTAGGTTACAGACAGTAGTGGTACACTTTGCTGGAAGCATTTTGGGAGCTGTAAAACTGTCGGTAGAAATATAACCGTTGCAACCAGGTCGAAGAATCCAATTACTCGACGAACTAATAGTGTATGGTGTACTAAAGGTACAGAACTGACCTTTAAAGGGCACAATATGACATAGCCCCTGAAATCTCCATCAACACCATCATCAATAACCTTTATAATCAATAAGTAAAGCTGAAGTCTACCCAAGGTTAACTTACACCAAAAATGAAACAAATTCAAATGTTCGTCTGTTGTTCTTCCTTGGTTTAAACAATATAGTGAATTATGGGTCAAATGGAGCATATTTTTCTATTATATTCGATTGCGATGGAGTTGACCTAAAGAATTGGTCGTTGCAGGACGTGACGAGAAGAACCCAAGATAGAAAATAGATTTTCAGATAGATTTATACACAGTGCTGTCTAAAATTGCGTGTTTCCTTATAAGTGACATTTTGTTAGAAAAGTTCAAGTGTGCTGGGATAATTAACAAAATAACTTCAGTTTGGCCAGATAAGAAGTGTGGAAACCAAAAGCCGTTAAAAAGTCACTCTCTCTCTCCTCTCTCTCTCTCTCTCTCTCTCTCTCTCTCTCTCTCTCTCTCTCTCTCTCTCGCTCTCTTATTTCTCTAGGTTCATTATTCTACGTTATTTAGAAACTTTTAAAATAGTTAATTTCTTAACTAATTGTAAAATAACCATAGCGCAGCTAGCTCAATATCTGGAAAAGTTCATATCGTGACACAGATTTCTGATTCAAAATCACCAAAGCGAAAAAAACGTCCGTCCTTAGTCCCCTGTAAGAAGTTTATTGGAAGCTTTAGGGTCAATATTGGATAAAAGTTACAATTAATTAAAGTTTTTAGTTGAGATAAAAAAGTCAATGGCACGAGCGGGATTCGAACCCACGAGCTTCGGCTAGATACGCCGCTGCTCTACCACTTGAGCTATCGTGACCTCTTTCCCCGATCGTTCGAATCCCGCTCGTGCCATTGACTTTTTTATCTCAACTAAAAACCTTGATTAATTGTAATATATTAATTGGTCAAACGGATCACTAAATTAGTGAATTTAATTGGATCAAAGGTTTGCCCTCAATTCAGGGCTACTGGATTTGAACCCGGGACCTCAACTGTGATGAGTGTACACATGAATACTCGTACGATGTCTAGCACGATGATTGTGAATAATCTTCAGGATCTGCCACGAATCCATGGAGACTCCAACTATCAATGAAGCTAAGAAAAAGTACTTAATATCCATAATGGAATAAGGTGAACAATGTAATGGTTTTTACCACAACATTTATGGATAATTTTATTTTTTTGTTCAGCCTGACAAAAATTTAACACTTAACTTTTGTATAATCTTGAATTTTATTAACTTTTTCTTTGTATTTAGCCAAATGTATAAACGATAAATACCCAATGCATTCTTCAAAAAAGCGCTTCCAATTAGTTTTAGTGTGGTCTGCGGGGTGGTAAACCTGTAGTTTGGTTTTTCGACCATTCCGGTATATTTTCTTCGCTGTGTTGGTCTGTCAGGCGCGTTACGCATTTCTTAGGCCTCCCGGTGGGTCAGGGAAATAAGAAGGGTGAGGCACCAAGGCAATCCCAACAAAATTAATATTTTATTATATTATTAAGTACTTGTTTGTAGATCGTTTTGAAAAAGAAGAATTCTCGGTACTGAGGGCCTATATTTTTGCATTGTATTGTTATTACACGAATTGTTTGTTTAATTTTGATTCTTTATTTTTTTATATAATGAGAAAATCCTTAATAAATGTGGTACATGAAATCATTTTTAATTTGAAATTGATGGCATATTTTCCACGATTTACGAGGCAAGATACTAACTCTTGGAAGTTTTCAAATATGCTATGATCCAGCATGTCACCAAAGGTAGATCAGTTTTAACTTTTCATTCAATCTGGCTTAAATAAATTAGTGGAATATCTTGTCTAATGATTTAGCTAAAAAAAAATCCATCGTACAGATTTGGCCACCTTTAGTGCTAGGTCAGGGTGATAAGCAGGGTGAGGCACCAACACAACCTGACCAGTGAAGATGAAGAGATGGCAAGCGTCTGACAGACCAGGATGATCAGATACGACCAAATTAGTTCTTTGCTTATCCTCTAAAATTGATATTTGGGACTTAAGTGATTTCTTCTTGTCTAATGCTCAAGCCCCTAGTCCAATCGATAAAAGGTGGATTTCTGTTCAAATAAACCTGGACAAATTTTTCACTTATTTAATCCCTCTGATTCTCGTATGTGTAAGTTACGAGGACTTTACTAAGACTCAATCAGAGTAGCTATTTCTGAATTGTATTCTTTAGCGTGAAAGCCCTGTAGAACTGTATTTAACCATTTTTACCATTTCTTGCGTATTGCTATGGAATTTCCTTTTCGAAATCTATGAGTGACTTTTTTAGCAGACCGTAGTTCAGTATTCTTTTAGATAAAATTAAAAATTATTTCAATTCATTAATCTTTATGTAAGGTATTGGTTGAAATGAAAAAGTTAATGTAACGATCGGGATTCGAACCAACGACCTTCGGCTAAATACGCCGCTGCTCTACCACTTGAGCTATCGTGACTTCGTCCTCTCGGAAACCGACTCCTCATCTCAACCTACAACCTTTCCAATTTGCCCTCCTTTTTGCCATTTTTCAAATTTCGTGGCATCGTGGAATCCCAAGATGGCAAAAGAGGGAAATTCGAACGGTTGTAGTTGAGATGAGAAGTAGGTGCCCAAAGGGATCGAAGTGACAAGTGGTAGAGAAGCGGCGTATTTAGCCGAAGGTTTGGGTTCGAATCCCGTTCGTGGCACTAAATTTTTCATTTCAACCAATACCTTACATAAGAATAATTAATTGGTTTTTTGTCAATCGATTGAAAAATTATAAAAATCTTGTTCGTTTCTCAAGACATGCTCGGGATTTTCTTGGTAAAATTGTATTATAATTAATAATTATTGTAAAAATTGTGTCAATTTCTAGCAGACGGATTAATTACATGATGTAAATATTTATGTTGTTGGATAATGGATAATATCTATCTCGATCGATGGAAATATGCAAGGGTTGCAATTGTCATGTCAATGAGAGTCGAGATTCAAATAAAAAATTAATTTTAAGTGATTAAACTACATTTCAACATTCAAAATATACATCATATTAGTCATGATTGCCCCCCCCCCACAAAAAATTATTATATTATCTGTCAAACTTCAATATGTTGCAACTTTAAATGACAGTGACACCTCAAACTGCATCCGCGCTTCAAACGGTGGCTTTTACGAAAAAAAAGAACCCTTTCCGACTCTGCTGATAGGGCGTGCAAGAGGTGCGTGCTCATGTGCATGTGTTCCACGGACGGTGGGGGAGCTTTTCGAGCGGGTTGTGTAAAGCTTTCGGCCCCGAGTGGGACGGAGCCTCCCCGGTATATAAGCTCAAAACGCTCTCGCTTAGACGTCAGTCGATCAAAAGCCAACATCAGGACAGAGACATGAACAAGAAGGTAAGTCGACGAAGGGGAAGAGTACGACAATTTCGACTTCGGGGGTTACAACTTGGCAAAGCATTACGGGGATGGTCGGTGAAAAAAAAAAATGCACCTATCAAAATTCTTGGCCAAAATTTTTGTATGGAAATATCGATCCACAACACAAAAAACAGGACTATTAGTCAAAATTAAATTATTTAAACAGCTGAATTATTTTTCTCATTGGTTTCATCTGGGTCGCATAAAGCATAAATTCTTCGCCTTTCTTATAATTATATATAAAATAAAATCAAATGCCGTGAATGTAAAAATTCCAATATCATATTCGCAAAAGTTTTTCATAATCTACATAAATTTCTCTAAATTGTAAACACTCCAGTATTGAACATAACGAACTTAAAAGTTAACTTAAGAGAAAAATAAATGAAAATTTACCACTATATTCTTTTAACTTTGCCTGATTCAATTTTAATTTCATAAAAGAGATCCAACTTCATTGAAATTGTTTGAGCCAAGGATTTCCCTTTTTCTTATTTTCTCAGTGCTTGGACACTTCACAAAATTTTCTTGAGGTGGGGTTTCTCACGTCTGTTCATATTTTCCAAATTAGGGATAGTAAAATGCATGAAAATTTACCCTGACGCCCTCTCGATATTAAATCCATGACTATCACAACCAGCAAATTTATCTACTTTCAAATATGCCTGATTCACTTTTAATTTTCATAAAAGAAATTCATTTCATTTGTATTTTTTCGGCCGAGGATTTCCTTTTTTCTAATTTTCTCAGGGCTCGGACACTTTAAAAAACTTCCCTTTTCTAAGAGTTTATTACATGTTCTTCATCAAATATCAGATTTTCAAAATTCGTAGGAGATTGGTCCAAAAGTGATTAACATTTACTCTGAATTCCTCTCGACATTAAATTCATAACTAGCACGACTAAATATTCTTTCAAATTTGCCTGATTCACTTTTCATTTTCACAAAAGAAATCATTTCACTTAAATTGTTTCGGCCGAGGATTTCCTTTTTTCTTTTCCCAATGCTTGAACACTTATAAAATTCCCTTGAGGCGGGATTTCTCACGTCTGTTCATATTTTCCAAATTAGGGATAGAATAGCTAAAAATGCATGAAAATTTACCCTGACGTCCTCTCATTATTAAATCAATAACGAGTACAGTCATTATATTTTTTTTCGAATTTGACTGGTTCACTTTCAATTTTCATAAAATACGTTGATTTACCTTCAAATTGTTTCGGCCTAGGATTTCCTATTTTACGCCAGTGCTTGGTAATTTACAAAACTTGCTTTCTCTGGGGTTTATCAAATTTATATTTGTTCATAAAATAAAACAAATTCCCTAAATTGAAAACGTGATGGTCAAAAAGCCACAAAAATGTACTCTGATGTCTCTTGATATTAATACATGAAGAGCTTTGACTGGTTCTCTTTTAGTTTTCATAAAAAAGTTGCCTTTTCCCCAATTATTTGGGGCAAGGATCTCCCTTTGTTTCTTTTCCCAATGCTTGAGCACTTTACAAAACTTTCTTTTCCTGACTTTATTACATGTATATTTGTCCATCCAATACCAGATTTTCTAACTTCATGGAGGAATGGAATGGTCAAAAAGTCATGAAAATATACCTTGGTGTCCTACTGATTTAATATATAACGATCACATTTATCAAACTTGTATTCTTTCTCATTTGACTGCATCCTTTTTAATTTTCATAAACAAAATTTCACTGGAATAGATTTAGCCAGAGACTTGTCCTTTTTCCAAATTCTTGGACAAATTGCACATCTCTGCTGAGGGGTGTATCGTGACAAAATTGTCTGCTTTGCTCGTTCCGTAAAACAGTAAAAAAATATATAACAAAAAGTTCATTAATGGCGGAAATGTATATCGATCTTATAGAGAACGTCTCAAAATGCTGGAAACCATTTTCTTAAAGTTGTCTGGATTTTCGAAACCTGAGTGGAAAAACTGCTTGACCTCTTTTTTTCAGGCATTCCTTATACTTTTTTGTTTTCACAATAAAAATACTGTCACCAGATTTTATAATTTAAAACCACTCATTTTAGAATGTAATATAAATCCAACTTCCATCTTGAAATTTGGTGAAACTCTGATGTAGTTGCAACAGGTGACACACTAAAATTGTATAATTTTCGATATTCTATAGTTGAAAGTTGAGTAATTAAGCCCCTTCTGCTATAATATCATTATTTGCTTCTGATTGGTCTAGGTTTAACAAGTCGTGTTAATGGTTTGTGTTATTGTTGCTTAATCAGCCTTAGATTGAAAGCTTTAGATAATTGGTAACCACTAAATGATGTTTTTGTTTTAGTTGTTGTGGGTGGCTGTCGCCCTGCTCGCGGTGGCTCGGGCCGAAGATGGAGAGAAGAAGAAGGTAGCCGAAGAGAAGAAGGAGTCTGTCGCCGAAGAGAAGAAGACAGAAAAAAGAGGACTTTACGGCTTTGGATTCGGCCACGGCGGTGAGCTCGCGAGTTTCGGAAGCTACGGAGGAGGCGGCTACGGAGGCGGCGGCTACGGAGGTGGCGGCTACGGAGGCGGCGGCTACGGAGGCGGCGGCTACGGAGGCGGCGGCTACGGAGGCGGTGGACACGAATTCTACGGTTTCGGCGGCGGTCTCCAGCTGTCCGGTGGAGATTTCGGTGGACACCACGACTACGGGCACGTCAAGTCCGTGACCATCACCAAGGAAGTAGCGGTCCCGTACCCCGTCCACGTCGAGAAAAAAGTGCCGTACCCCGTCAAAGTCCCAGTCGACAGGCCCTACCCGGTCCACGTGCCGAAACCGTACCCCGTCCACGTCGAAAAGCCCGTCCCTGTCCCAGTCAAAGTCCCAGTCCCTCAACCTTACCCGGTCACTGTCGAAAAACACGTACCTTACCCCGTCAAAGTCCCAGTCGACAGGCCTTACCCGGTCCATGTACCCAAACCGTACCCAGTCTACGTTGAAAAGAAAGTCCCGGTCACGGTCGAAAAGCACGTGCCTTACCCAGTCAAAGTCCCAGTCGACAGGCCCTACCCGGTCCACGTCCCAGTAGAGAAACCCGTCCCTTACCCGGTAGAGAAGCCCGTGCCCTACCCAGTCAAAGTCCACGTCGACAGGCCCTACCCGGTCCACGTGCCCAAGCCGTACCCCGTGCACGTCGAAAAGCCCGTCCCATACCCTGTAGAGAAGCCGGTTCCCTACCCGGTCAAAGTCCCAGTTAAAGTACCTGTCAAAGTGCCTTACCCAGTCGAGGTCAAAGTCCCCGTTCATGTCCCTGTCCACGTTCCCGTCCACGTACACAAAGAACACCACGATTTCGGTGGAAGCCACGAAGGAGGATACTACTACCACCATTAAGTCACCAATCGAGGACTTCTCAACCTCGTCCCAAATCACGGTTACCAATAAACTACCAATAAAACAACTGTGTACCCTATTCCATGTGATCATTTAATGTAGATAAATAAATATATTTTTGTATATTATCATTTTTTAAACTGACTATTTTTCTTTTAAGCCTCCAACCCATACTAGATCCACTACGGGAAGAGGTCGATTCAAGAAGTCGTTAGCGTCCCAGAAATGCAGTTCGCTTGACTCTTCCTGTATGTGTACGAAGACTTCTTGTCATTACTTTCTCTTTTGTTCTCGACACAGTTCACCGTTTTATACTTCATATGTTTTTTAATCTTCTCTAATTATTTAATAGGAAAGTAATTTAACAAAATGAAAGTTTCGATTTTTCTACTCCGCTCAACGAAAACGTAACGGTCATCATCCGCTGTTTAAACATATTAATATCCGAATTAATTTGCATTAAAATTCCCGCCCGTTCTACCGTGTAAACTTCAAAAATGCGAATCCGTTCATATATCCAAAAACAAAGTGCGGAAGGCAGAGAAAAACGCAATTAGCTCACTCGTGAAAGGGGAAACTGTTATTTAAGGTTTCATAACATTTTGCTCGTGTGCTGGTGTAAATTTCCTTTCGGTAATAAAAAAAGGCTTAACAATGAAAAAGTAGCCTAGATCAAGTCAGTTACGTAAACGCGACCCGGGCTAGCACAAGCCGACCTAATTTCCAGGCGTAATAAGCTGATGTCCAACCTGCAGACGCATTTTAATAAACAACTTTCTGAAAAATCATTATACGATCTAATTGAAATCCTTACAACTTGTAATAATCACAATCATGGAAGAACTACAACCTATATGACCTAGTCAAGTAATAAAATTCATAAACAATCAGGTCTACCCGACGAATTGTACAGAACAGCATAACACTGATCATTCAATTGAAATTCTTGCAGGAGAATTGTCAAAAGTTAAAACATGTTCTATGCAGTAAGAATTTAATCAAACTCGGACTTACCTTATGTAAGGGATGTTTGCTGGTACGTGATATTTTGATCCGGGGTCGAAGTCTGTCTCGGATCGCAGCACTGGAGGTTTAATGCCACCAATTTTTTCCCTAGAAAAGAAAAATAATTAATTCACTCTGTACTGTATACACGGCATCTGTATGTTTGTAAACAAGAGGTACTTTAATCTCAAAACCGATTCAGGTCAGCTACTCCGGCGGATGCTCGCAACGTCCGAGTACTTAAATCACGCCAAAAAGTGAAACATAGAAAATAATGCAAGAAAGGTCATGGTTAAGGAAGTTCATCTCAGGAATACACACGACTTTGGTTTACAACCTCGATACAACTTGCGATGACAGAACATAATTTGGACTTTACTTACAACTGGTGTCAGCCGACATACTTCCACACCCGGACAAAATTATAGTCTACCCCACGTTTTTACAAAATCATTTACTCTAATGGACAAGACTAACAGGAAAAGACTTAGTTGGCTCAGTATCAGTAATCAGTTGACCCAATGTTGTAGTAAAGGTAATAAGCAGGGTGACGCATCAATGGAGAGTCTGACAGACCAAAACATCTAGGATAGATTAAAATGATCTGAAAACAACAAACTAAAAGCGTCTTAATAAATTGAGACCTAGTGATCTATCTATCCAGGGAAAATAACTTACTTTACTTAAAATACTTTTGACTTAATTTGTTTAAAATTACTTTTTACCATGATCGCAGTGTCGATAGTTGCATTGTCTCGGTGAAAGATGCCTGCTCGAAAGTTGTCAGGACTTCTACTATTTCTTAAATAAATATGTGAGATTTCTTGACGTTTCCGATCATTTTGGTTAGTCAGACGCTTTTTGGCTTTTCGCCATCTTACGTGATGGGATTGTGATGGTGCATCACCCTGCTTATTTCCCTGTCCCAATGTTGAAGGTGGCGAAAAGCGTCTGAAAGTCCAAAACAACGAGGATAGACCGACTAACATGATCGGAAACGACCAAGCTACAGGTTCATCACCTGCAAATCAAACAAATATCTCTCACAATTTCAAAGAGCTGACGATTAGGATCTTTCTCAAGACAACGCAACGTCCACACTGAGAGCAGAGTAAAAAAAAATGTTGAATCCAAAAGTATCTTAGTTTTACTTTGACTAACAAGATCACAAGGTTTCAATATTAATGAAAATTTTATAGTTATTTGTATAGATCATTTTGGTCTGACTATCCACGCTGTGTTGGTCTGTCCGACGCGTTTCGGCTTCCCTACATCGCTGCCTCATCATGCTTATTACCCTGTCCCAGTGTTGAAGGTGGCGAAAAGCGTCTGAAAGTCCAAAACAGCAAACCAAACAAATGTCCAATTTGTGCAAGTATAGTTAAAGAGGAGAAAAACTAGCGATTAATTTGATTTTCATCAAGACATGATGCAACTGTCCACACTTCGAACGTTGTAAAAGAAACTTTTTGAACGCAAAAATATTTCGGTTTTAACCTGGAAAGGCCGATCACCGTCTCAACGTCATAGAAAGCTTTTAGTTTGGTCATTTAGTCTGTTTAATCTCGTTGTTTTGGCCAGGCGCATTTTAGCTTTTCATCACTTTTAGCACAGGGTCAGTATAATAAGCAGGCACCAATGAAAAGAAGCTAAAACCTTCTGACTGGCCTAAACAGCGAGGAGTTATAGACCAAATGGTCAGAGAACACTGAAAATGGTGTCATGGCAAAACGCATGTGACATGACAACAGACAAGAAGGTACAAGACAGACAATTCTCCATTGATCTCTAAAACTAGCACCATTTCGGAAGAGATTTTAAAGTTCTTGGTGCACTTTTGTCGAATATTGACCAAATTTTCTATGCGTTAATATTCGAGTTGCTCCAGGCAGTTGAACTGCTTCCCTTACGGATAAACTGCTGGACAGATTACTGTCCGATAGTTCTCAATAAATTATTAGATTTTTTTATAAAGTCTGAAGTATGATGACCTGTGGTTTGGTCGTATCCGATCATTTTGGTATGTCCTACGCGTTTCGACTTCTCTTCACCTTACTTATTACCCTGACACGGTACTGAAGGTGGCAAAACTCCGTAATTGTTGAGACCTGATTATCGGGTTAGTCAGCGTAAAACCGATATAATTTTGGCTTCAAAAATTTTTTTTTAAAATATGATCACAGGGTTATGATGAAAGATGACCGATCCTAATTTTCCGCTCTTTCAATTAGTTGGGTAAACCAGGAGATTTCTTTGTGCGATCGGTGTATGATAAACTTGTAGCTTGTCGTTTCCGATCATTTTAGCCTACCTCTCCTCACCGTTTTTGTCTTTCAGACGCGTTTCGGCTTATCAGTAAGGATATAAGCAGGGAGAGGCACGAATGTAGAGAAGCCTAAATAAGTCTGACAGACCAACTCAGCGAGAATAGACAAACCAAAATGATCGAAAATACCACACTACAAATTCTCAAAAATGTTGACACCTGGTGATTGTCCTATCCAGGGTAAAAACGACAGAGATAAGGATAGAACGGCCAAAACGATCTGTAGCGGTTAAATAGCATAAATAATCAAACTAATTATTCAGAAATCGTGAGATGCGATCTGGTGTGATGTAGGTTTCAGAAAAACATTTTCTTTATGTGCCAACGTTTCGATCTTTATCGAGATCATCTTCAGGGCTCAAAGTGTTTGTCTTCTGTGTAATTGTGCCATTCTTGCGTGTCGTGTTGAGATGGCACGATAAAGAAAATGTTTTTCTGAAACCTACATCACACCAGACCGCATCTCACGATTTCGGAATAATTATCGATTAACGGTCACTAATAATCATCACACAATGAAACTAATGTCGAAATTCATCACGGGTTTTTTTTTGTAAATTGATTTTTTTCCCATATCTTTAGATGAAGCCTCCACAGGAAAGCTGTGAATCCTTTTGGCCTTGTGCCCGTTTGGAAATAGGGATTTTGCTATAAAATATATACAATTTAAATTGAAGCAAAATTTGCAAAAAAAAGTGTAAAACTTTTTCTATATTTTATAAGGTCCACGGCTTGACTAAAAATCAGAGACTGAAGAGTTGGACACCAGCAGCAGAAAAGCTCTCCATAATCAGACATTCGTTCCCACTCATCTTCCAGACGTAATCATTGCCCACGTTGACAAAATTCTCTGTAAATTGTCAACTTCTGTTTAAAGAGTTTGATCGTCCAATTTTTGTATAAATTAATGTTTTTCAGCCTACGACAGCACTGCCTCTTGGCATTGGCTTGAATATGAAAAACATAAAATATAGTAACAGTAAACTACAGGAAATTAGTTTTTATGGAATGCAATAAATTCCAATGACTCTGTTCTTAACAAGATTAAGATAAAAACTGTTCGTGGCCAATAATTTTACTGCAAGTATTGCAATTTTACCTTGAAGAATCTCATACAAAGAAGTTTTAATTTTTTTATTTTTACTTTTATTATTATTTTTATTTATTTTTTTGGATAAATTACATTTTATAAATTAAAAAAAAATAAACTAGCAAAATGTGGTGGTAGCATATTAATAGTTTTCTCAGGCAGTGGATTGTCAGAATCTTTTCATAATTAATGTTGTGAAACATCATATTCAACCAAATTATCATCATATGTCATATTTCGACACAAAAAAGATATAATTTCATTTAAAATTGTGACAAGAGATAGAAAGTTGTTTTTTAGCCAAAAAGTAAAACAGGATTTATCTGGAGAAAGGTGTCACTTTGAATCTTATCATATACAAATCCAGATTGGTAATTGCCTAATAAAAATAAAGTTGAATTCTTGAAATTAGATAATATCAGGGAATTTCTTTCCATTCCTATTCAGATTTTTTCAATAATTACACTTTACAGCAGATAATGATACGTGTTTAAATTAATAGATTTTTATTTGTTGCAAAAACATTTCTCTGAAACAGGAGAATCTTGATTTTAAAAATAATTAGGATAAAAAAATATTATCATGTTTTCTGTTCGGGGAAATACAAAATTTAACTTGAAACCTTATATTGTCGATTGATAAGAACCTTTATCAATTCATATAAATAATAGATTTATCATTGGGAGCATCTTTGTAAAGGAGGAAAAGTCAATAATCATTCGTCAAAGATGGGTCGTTCTATCCACATCGCTGTTTTCATCGCTTCTGCGTTCTTTCTTGTGAGTAACTCATGCAACTGGAGAACTTTCATGTTTATGGCATATGTGTGTAATTTTTTATTTTTATTTGTTTAGATGTACACCTCAGCAGAGGTAACAGAGACGAACAGTGAGTCCCGGTTGAACCTCGTCTTGAAAAATTTAACAACCGAAATTTCCGGGATCTCAGACAGGTTGAAAAATATGAGAAAAATCGCCAAAAGCTCAGAAGAGACATCAGCCAGCGTATCTGTAAGTATTGCTTTTAAAAAAATCAGATTTTTGAGGGCCTTGATTGTACAAATAAAGACACAAAGTATAGAATTGGTTGTGATCACCACCCACTATAAGATGAAATTTTAATTTTTTTATAATGAAATATTATTGTTATGTTGCAGAAAGAAGTTAGCTTAGATGCTGGAGTCGCCAAAACCAATGTGACATATGAAGAGCTTATCAAAAGGACTGAAGACGCCAGGAAAAAGGTCAAAGAAATGCAAGCACTGCTCAAATCGGTTTCGACTAAAATGGACACAATACTCAAGAAAGAAGACATCAAAAATGAAATGTAGGATAGAGCGTTGGAGTTAACATTTTGAAAAAAAAAATTTGTAAGAATCCTTATATTGTCATTAGAACACAAACCAATGAACTTTTGAACCAGCTTATTAAAATAGCGTCTACTGATTTTCCAAATTATAATAAGTTGTATGAGTTTTAAAATTATTCCAAAATTTCTGCTTTAAAATGTTATATGTTTTTACCATTGATGGACCAAATTAGCCTGGTATTTGTATATGTGTACCATAAAATAATATTTCCAAAGAAAGTTTGTTATTATTTGGTACAAGTAATAGCAGTTAAGTTGCTTGAATGATCAATAATTAAAAATTACTATTTTACTACTTTAAATGAACATAGATGTATAATTTTTTAACGAAATAAACATTTATATCAAATCGTGTATGTTATTGATTAAAATTAATTGATTAAAACTGGCTAACTTCTCCAAGTCTGGAAAGCATGGAATTAAAAACAAAAACCTACCTGTAATCCCACCACTGGCAGTTGTATCTTTCTTTAGGTATAGCACCCTGGAAAACGTCCCATCTCCAAGAATCCAAGGCGAGGCTAAACGCCAAAAATGGCAATTTATCCAACGCCAGCGAGTAAAGATAATTTATATTGTGTGGTATGTCGTCGTTTGAAGAGAATACCAAGCCCAGGGTTCTTAAGTGCTTCGGCGATCCGGCGGACATTGCAATCGCTTCACTCACAGCTTCGTGAAAACCTTTAAAATCACAATTAAAATGTTATTTGGTTTACTTTGTTGCTTTAAAAAAATACAATATTACCAGGATTAGCACCATCTCTGAAGACTTTAGGCTTATTTCTGTACTCAAGGAAGTACTGGATATGAGTCATTTCATGGTGGATTGTCACAAGATCCTTCATTGTGACCCGTGTACACATTTTTATTCTAGAAAATCACTTTCATTAATCATAATTATATGAACACGAGTACAACCACGCCTACCTGTAATCTCTTCGGTTGCAAAAGTCCCACGCGGAAGGCTGGCAGATGACGGGACGGTCTGGCGGCTCTTGGAGGAGAGAATGAGCCCAGAAGTCCGGAGGCATGCCGGATAGGTTGAGCGATAGGAAAAACTCCTCGGCCAATCTGAACATCGTCAATGGCGTGTAACCCTGCGCCAACAATGGTCTTAATTCGGTTCATTTGAATAATAAAAAATTATTTACTTGAGAGTTCATTTGAGGGGTGACATCGACGAATGTTTTCCCAGGATATGGTATAGTCACGTCCAGTATATTCGTCCATGACTGCGCCCACATGTTTCCTGAAAAAATAAATAAATAAATGTCATACTGCAATTGTTTGAAAAACCTTTTAAAAAAAAGGAAGAAAAAAACATATGCAAGCATTATCTCTGATCATTGGAGGGCCTTTCTTACTGCCTTCTTACTTTTTTCAATAGTTCAGACGGTTTGAATAGCCAACAAGAACATTTTGTTGTACACTTTTGTATTTGAAGATTTTTTAATAACCATTAAATCCTGAGATTTTTTCATATGTCTGCAGGGTTATAGGTTAAAAGGAATCTTTACAATTTTTACAACACAACTAGTATTTATTCAGAAATCGTGAGATGTGGTCTGGTGTGATGTACGTTTCAGAAAAACATTTTCTTTATCATGCCAACGTTTCGGTCTTTATTGAGATCGTCTTCAGGGCCCAAAGTGTTTGTTTTCTGTGTAATTGTGCCATTCTTGCGTGTCGTGTTAAGAATGCCCTCAACGATCGAAACATTGGCACGATAAAGGAAATGTTTTTTTTTTAAACCTACATCACACTAGACCGCATCTCATGATTTCTGAATAATTATCGATTAATGGTCACTAACCACCACACACAACCAATATTGTTCTATTTGGCATCTCCATTATTAATGAGAGCTCCTTTTAAGCTTAAGGTTTTGTGCAAGATACCAACGCTTTGTAAAGGAATCCCGTGTGTATACTCCAGTGTTTTTCTTCTCCCAGGAGTAAGAATTTCCGCCTTCGTACCAAAAGAGGACATGTTCCGCTGTTTTTTCTACTTCCAATATATCCACAGGCTTGTTTCTACTGTTCTGAGTGTACACATGTCTCCAGAGCCTGCATTGTTCAATCTGCAGTCCAACTCTTATTCTAATTCTGACAAATCCTAGATTTACTGGCTGCGAGCCATTAGTTTCTGTTTTCACATGCCATTGTCCTCGATTACAATTCTATTGATCCGATGACATTATTCGCCTTATGGATCTACATTTTTGGCAGTTTGCTAAGCAACAAAAGGGCTCAGGTTGAGTAACCTCTTCAAAATCACCTTGGCCAATTTGTCAGCATTTTCATTGCCCCTCTGTCATGTGCGCTCTATACCATGACAAGGGTTATTTGATGCAATCCCAAACGGCTCTTGACTTTACTACCAAGGTAGGTGTTCTTAGTGCTGCCTACCTGTCCTAGCAGAGGTTATTTTTTGTTAGTAATACCTTTTGATCACCTTAGTTTATATTATGGTTTTCAATAGCCACACTCTGCTTGAAAAACAGGTCATATTGCCCAATGTATATGAATCCTTGTTTTATTTTGACAGATACAAGCTCCTAACCCGGTCTTAGAGCCAGGTTACAAGATATAGTCGATATTAACTGGAAACCCTTAAGTAATTTGAAATTTTTTACCAAATCTGAATTTTGATGTCATGGCATCAACAGATATCTACAACCTTGTCTGCCTGAAGTTCCTCTTAAAGCTTTAATTGCCACTTTTAAGCGAGAAGGGGATTGGAGCCTGTCACTGCATTAGTCATGAGGCCCTTTTATGGCCCTTTTTCTCAATCCGAGTTCCTTCATTCTATCCTGTGACCCCTCCCAACCCTTGGTTGCAAGGGGGGTATCCGGGCACAAAATAAAGGTGCAGCCCAGAGGGTGTGGCAACCTCTAAAGCACAAGCTGTACTCGTGTTGGCCTAGGGTCAACATGGGTGGTGGGTGCTTTAGCAGAGTCACACGAGGGCCAATGCACTAGATCCTGTCTGCATAGACGGGGGAGGGGTGTATGGCCATCTGTACCATAGGGTAACTTAAATGTTTCAAATTTAGACCAAAGTTACAATGGGAATGGATTCGTGGTGGTGCGTGGTGACACCCCTGGCGGGAACTTAGACAGAGGCTGTCTCCTATCTGTGACCTTCGTGAAGCTTGCGTATGGCCAGCGTAATTACCCCCGGCCTCACGGGAGACGTTGCGACCGGACGACAGCGTGTAAGCGTTGAGGACGCGATGATCATGCTGAATAGTCCCTCGGATGTGTGAGTTAGCGAACGGAAACGGGTAGTGAATCGGTGTCTCTGACTTGAGTATGCTTTGTGCGTATGACCGGCGTGGTACCCTTGGGGAAGCGAAGGATCGGACCACCTAGGCTGAGCCTATGGCATCCCTTGAATGTGCATGGCAGGTGTAGGCTGAGCTCGATAAGAGACTTTACCATAGGTGGTGCTCATCTAGGGTGTGGTTAGCAATTCCACTTTAAACTAAACCACTGCTGGGGCAAAATGTTCCCGGAAGTTTCTACGCTAGGGGAGCCCCTATACTCAGGGAGAAAGAGTGGCCTTCTCTATCTAGGGAGTATGCGGGAGAACAGGCTGATGTATTTCGGCCTGTTAGCCCTTTGTGTGCGGCATACGACCCGATGCACAATGCGGGCCCGACCATTCGGAGTGGACAAGCGGAGAGCAAGGTTGTTTCGGCCCTTAGGGGCAATGGCGCCTCTACACCAATGCTGCGACAGTAACACCGTCGTATGCGGAGGTGCGTCAGCTCCCATCTTGAGAATCAAAATGTCCGATAAGGCCGAATAGGCAAGGTGCGGACGTTAAAGATCCTCTTGTCTTGTTGACGATGAGTTCTCGGGAACGGAATGTCACTGCATTAGCCTGTGTATTGTGACTCTAGCCTCTCCCTGGTTTAAGAAGTATAGTGGCAGTAGATTCAGGACTTCCGGGCAGCAGGGGTACTCAATAACAGTACTGAGCATTCTGACTGCCCTGAGCTCTAATGTCTATGCCCACCAAACCACGTAGGCTACCAAAGATCAAACAACCGCTATGTAAACCATAGAGACATATTTGGGTTTAGCCCTCGCCTTTTCCCTCAAAGTCTACAGGGTGATGAGTTTGTAGTTTGTTAATTACATGGCCAAACTACAAAAAATAATCAAAGCTTGATCCTCTCTGGTCATCCTGGCTCATTCTTGACTGACAGTACTTTTATAATTTTGCTATATTCAGTGATTCAGTTGGTTTGAAAAGACCAAAATTTGATCATAGTATGTGAAACTATTATGTTTATATTACCTAAAATATGAGCTGGCATGGGAGCTTCTCTCCCTAGTTTTTCTGGTCCGTACAAATCTCTCAATTTCCTCCTCACGTATGCATGTAACTCGTCATAAAGCGGTTTGATTTGTGCCCATGCGTCTTCGACATCAAGCCTGAACGATGGTGATTCATAAGGGAAAGACAAATACTCATAGTAATCAGTGAAGTCTGAAAAGAAAAAAAAAATTTTTGAAGTTCTCCAGATGTTTAGGATTAATTATGCTTAAAGCATACTGTTCAACCGAGCTGCATAGTTGCTCAGGTCAACCATCTGGTCATAAAGGTCCCGGATCTTCTGTCCACTCCTTCTATGCCACTCTATCCACGTGTGCTGCAGCTCGTCCCAGTCTTTACTCTTTGCCATTATATTTGTTAAATCTAAATTTTTTAAAATATATATAAACAAATTTTTATTTAAAAAATATATAATTTGGGATTACCTGGCTCCAATCTTAAGTTGCATTTCAACGGATCCTTATAGGAGCAAGTAGTAGCACCGTTGTACACCGCAAGCATGTCATTTATTAATCTGTTATACTAGAAAACAAATTTCATTTTTGTAATAACTCTAAAAATTAATAATAAATTAACAAAAAATTGAATTACCCTGTCCAGTTGGTCTCGGGGTAAAGCGGCAATGCCAATAACCGATAAAAATCTGATCGCTCGCCAAAGATGGTTCTCTCGTACTCGATCTTTAGGTATCTTACATAGGACGTCTCTTATTTTGATCTGCGCCTCAGTGTATGCCAACTGTCCTTCAAGCTGAAAAACAAAACAAAAAACTAGATGATGTAGACATCATCTTCTAAAACACTGTTGTTCCACAGAAAAAATTTCTAACACAATTATTAATGTAACGATGTTTTCTTATATTTTGACCTCAACAGTTAATCTTATGATTCTTCCTTCTTGAAGGTGGGATAATAGGTCATCTCAAAAAACCACAACCAGTTTTTATCCACAACGTTTCGGATTTATTTTAATCCTTCCTCAGATGAGTTAACGCAATGGTTAAAAAAGTGGTCGTCAGTCATTAATATTTTATAACAATTTATTTTAAAAAAGAGCCAGTGTGGTACTTATTCAGACTAGAAACAAACGTTTTAATATTTTGAACCTGACTAGGCACTTTTTTAACCATTGCGTTAACTCACCTGAAGAAGGATTAAAATAAATCCGAAACGTTGTGGATAAAAACTGGTTGTGGTTTTTTGAGATGACCTATTATCCCACCTTCAAGAAGGAAGAATCATAAGAACAATTATTAATTTTTAACTACTAGTGAAAAAAAGACAATTATATATTTATAATCTTTCAATAGCTACTCATTTTTATTGAAAATCGTTACTTTGGTTAAAATTTAAATAATTGTAATACAAATTCAGTCCAAGCTTCTTTAGTGCCATGGGAATATGTCCTCGTTCGTGACTTTATGACCAGCCACTTCATCCCAGTTATTGCCATTCGAGATCAGGACCTGGAGTCCACACCCTCTGAGCTCTCCCCATCCAAGGCACATAACCCAAGGCTACTTCTGGCTGAGTAGTATGTTTACTGCATCATAGAGTCAGGGAGAGAGTATAAATCAATGAAAGGGAGAGTCAGATGTAGAGTGTTGTTGGTGAGATCAGCCAACTGAGCCCAAAGGTTAGATCCTCCCGAGAAGTTGGTGATCAGAAGGGCCTCCAAGATCTACGCCTCAGTGCAACGTTCCCTTGCATGGAGACTGTACGCTGAGCAGTAAATCCTATTTATTAGCCAGAAGCCCCTTAAACTTGAGCATTTTTGATTAATTAATTAAACCCTTTTTCCCATATAAGACCGCTCCTCTTTGAGGACCACAATATTGAAATGTAATAAAGGTAAAAGTGCATTATTATTTATCATGAAATGGCACTTCATTACATTTAAAATAATTTGTTCAACAAGAATAATTTAATTTTTTTATGACTATTAAACACAATTGACTTAGGACTTCATTTTATTTAAAAACTCAAGTTCCATTCATTCCAAAATAGTTGACCAGGTGATTATTTAAAATAATTCTTTTCTTTTCATTCACAATCAAAATAAATGACAATGGGAGGGAAGAAATGAGTATAACTGCATAGTCGTTGAAAAAATTTAAACTATAATATTTTTCTTTCGTTGTAAACACAAAAATATCATTATTGTGTAATAGATTATAAGGCAGAATTCATACGATGGTCGATTAAGGTGCAAAACAGATTTAAACTAATTATAACGTGCATCTGTTGAATATCAAGTACGATCAAGTATGACACACCTTTGTCCTTCAGTTAAATAATACTATTAAATCAAGAAGGATGATGGCTGGCTAGCAAATTGAAAATCATTATGAATAGGTGAATAATACTCTCGCACCCAAGGTTGTGTACATCTGAAAGAAATTTCCCACAGGTTGAATCATGTGGTTGAATGGGAGGGCTAATTGGAACAGAAAGACTCAAGCAATTTTATGACTCATTATTCTCAATCGGCCACAGTGCCGAGATAATTAATTAATACGGATGTTTTTTGCTGTAGTAAAGTGTTTAAATAAATAATTAATTAATTGTGCATTATTGTTGTTTCGGTGTGAATTTTACGATATCCTGGTTCTCTAGGAAGGAAGTAGATTTATATTTAGAAAAATTAATTATTAGAGTTTGTAGATGATCTCATCTGTACAAGTGTGGAAAATAATGTAATTACATGGCCGACAAAGGAAGAAGAAAACTATAGGGAAAAATTAAATCTGAAGACTAGAAATGGCAAGAATTTAGCGAAAAATGTATGATGTACATACATCACTATAAAAATTATAATAATAATTTAACGGTACATTCTGGATGGCTTTCATCCGGACGACTCTTCGCAGAATTTGAGTGCTTCCTATTTGCTAAGAAAGGTCACAAAAAAGGTTGTGGCCGATTAGTCCAAAAAACTGAAATTTTTGGAGGGGAAAAGTGATCCAGATAAATGTCAGCTATGCTTTGCTACAAATGAGTTTTCTATTCAGCTGGTCATACAAAATATTTAAAATGACACAATAGACAAGCTGTATCATGAAGTCTTAAGGGACATAAGTGGAAAAGTGCACTGTTATAAATTAAGCCTAGAGAGCAGAGAACTACTACAAGTTGGACCAATCTGGATGTTTTGAGACCTTTTACTACAGACCTATCAGTCATAATAAACGTGATAATCAATCAAAAACGAGGTGTAGAAAAATTAAAGCCTGCACTCCCAAGTGATGAACAAACTCTGCCTATGGTATTTAAAAAAATCATCATCATGGCATGGTGGCTGAATTGATAGGCATGTAAGGTCTAGAGATGGTACAAGTGACTCCATGATGGGATTCCAGAAACTATAGGAAACTATAGACATACTCATGTAACTCATAATCGTTATAAATCCTGATTTTTTTCTATCTAGAAAGACATTTTTCACCATTGGGAAAACTTCAGTGATTTGTCAAGGTTATAAGAAGGGAGAGGGAAGACAAACTCCTTCCAGGTCAAAGCATGTGCAGTATGCAAGGCTTAACCAACCATTTTATTATTATTACTATTATTATTATTGAGATGTTTTACTATACTAAAACGTTTATAGCTTGTGTCTAGTAAAGTCCATTCAATGTTTTAATTAACATCAAACAGATAACCTCAATAAAAGCCCATTCCATATTGTTATCAATTGAATTCTGAACATTGACTATTCAAAGAAGATTCTATAATTTGATCTAGTCCTGGTTGCCTATCCTCACTGAGCTGGTTTGTCATCGATTCGGCATTTCAGCATCATCAGTCCCTGATCAGGACTATAAGCAGGGGTTGCATAGACAGTCAGTGCCTCACCCTGCTTATTTCCCGGGTCCAATGGGGTGAGATACCAATACATTTGTATGACAGATGCCGAAGTAGACAAAACAAGAAAGGATATGCCACGGTAAGGATCCAATCATCATCACCGCTGGAGAAAATCTCACGATCAAAGAAGATTCAACTATAAATAAGACCATGTTTTTTTACATATTATTTGCTTGTTAAATTATAACAGAGCTAAGAGAGAAAACATAAAATACCAGCTTCGCAAAAAAGCTNATACATATAGTAAAATGGATAAAATAATTTCACCATATTTTATGATGTTACTTAAAAAATTGATAATTATCCAATCGATTTTAAAGGAAACTAAAATAGCTCAAAACAAAAAGAAAAGTCCTGGGAATGGATTCTATCATGAAAAATGTAATTAATATCAATTATGGAAAATTTGGGCCTTTTTAACTTAAATGCTAGGCTTTGGTTAGCATAATTTTCTCAGAAATGGAAACTCGCATTGCTAAGCCTGGAAAATTTTAAAACTACTGACCATCAGACGTTTCCTGCTTCTCCTTGGGAAATTTTTTGCTAAGCACATACTTTAAACAAAAGTAATTACTCACGTGTGTCTTGATAAATTCCCAACTACTCAGTTTTCGTTTTTATAGTCAAATGTTTTTTAGAATTAGAGGGAATAATGTATCTGGTTCAGAGAGTAAACAGTGTGAATTAAAGAAAAAAAAGTTTTTGTACTAATAACTTTAATGCTTGAGATCTCTTCATGGTGTGTGCGGGATGATGAACTTTTAGTTACAGATCATTTTAGTCTCCTTATCCTGGCTGGTTTGGTTTTTCAAACTTTTCATCATTTTGCCATCTACAGTCGTGGGTTTGTGTTGATGCAACACCATGCCTACACTGCACTGTACATTGGGTCAAGGATATAAGCAGGGTGAGGCACCAACGCACACCTGACAAGTCATGTGACAATACAAGGCCCCCACAAAATTTAAGATTAACTTAGAACTAACATCGGAGAAATTTCCAATATTCAAGACTTATTTTCAAAACTCAATAAAATAATTTATAGATATTTATAACATTAATATTGACAGATGAAGTATCTGGAGAAATTCTATTTTTAAAATGGATCATAATCCTTAATGATAATAAACCCACATAATGACACTGTATTTGATGCTTTAAACAATAATCAATAACGTGAAGCCTTGGAAGCTTTGAGAATGTAGAAAAATGTCTTTGTTATTTTCATTTTACTTTTATATCTTAAATCAAGGACTGTTTAGACCTTCTCACTTTTAATAATTTATCTAAAATTCCTGGTTTATTTCTATTTTTCCATGCAAAACTGCCAAGCTTTAAAAGAAGTATAGTTTTGTAGCTTTAATATTGGAATGAAGAAGTGCAAAAATGTGACATCCCGTTTGTGAGATGTCGATCTGTGCGATAATGTACTTGTGGTTTGACCCGTCAATCTTTCAGTTTTGGTCTGTCAGACATACTTCGCCATATAACCTATATTTAGTGGTTGATCGGGGTTATAAGAAGGGCGAGGCAAAATCACAAGCCATGCAAAAGCAAAAATAGGCAGTAAGGCAATCAGGAAATAACAAAAGAACAAATGAACAGTAAGATATTTTGTGTATCCGTTTATTGCTTATAATTCTATAATTAATAAAATATAAACAATAAATCTTAAACACAAACTAGGTGAATTATAAGACAAACCTTAAAATAAGTGTAAGAAAAGTTGTGAATTATTCTTCAGGTCTTTGGGGTGATAAACCTGTAGCTTGATTGTTTACACTTTTTTGGTATTTTTCCAACATTAAGTCAGGGTTATAAGAAGGGTGAGGCAGGACCACAAACCATGCAAAAGCGAAGATAGGCGGTTAGACAAATAGAAAACCA